GAATAGCACTATATATACCATGTTTGGTATCAGTCAGAAATATTAGGGTTTAAGATCCAACATTTTGGGTAACTTATCAGGAAAATACCTTGATAAAATTTGGTTAACTGGACAGCAACTGCCTGTTGTAGAAACAAACATATAGAGGATGATATTTTGAAAGTCTTCTGCCGTTTGTCTTCAGGTCAGTGTGTACTTACTTATGTGGCAGGGGTTCAGTTTGAAGAGAGAGAAGACAAGAGACTTCTCTCCCCAACTGGGATGCTCATGGAATATTAGTTCTCATGATTCTGGAGAAAAAAAAAGGAAGGGTAAGGAAGCCAGCAACAATGAAAAAGTATGGTATTGAATTTTCATCTTCTTAATTTTCGTGTTCGAATGTTGCTGCTCCAGGGTGACACTAGGCAAGGGTAGGCATTCTTATATGTGTGGAATTTGCAATATTTTCTTGATGTTGTATTAACTAATAATTTATTGCTAAATGATTAATTGATTTATTAACTAACTGATAGATTAATTAGTCAATTAACCAATCAATGAAGATCTCGGGGGAGGGGGGGGTCAGTGTGTGTATGGTGTTGTTGGTCTTTATGGTATTATGGTGGATTGTGGAGGGCATGTTATGATTGGTTGATTTGTCCATGTTTCTAATTGGTGGAGACTTCCTGTAGATGCAACCAATTGTAGCCACAGGTTACTCACTTGTAATCTGGAATCTCTGTTTAGTGAAGGTTTTACTGCGTTAATGTAGAAAGGATTCTTTAACTTTTCTTGTCTTACAAAATTTTTCTTTGTTGATGATTCTAGTTTTCCCCAGTTTATTTTGTGTCCAGTTGACACAATGTTATGCAATGGATGAATTTTGTGTTTTCATGAGTCTTGTTCTATCTTTATGTTCTTTCATTCTTGTTGCGAGTCTTCTTCCCATTTCTCCAATGTATGCTTCATTGCAAGAACACAGAATTTCATAAATGAAGTTTTGTATTTCTCAATGGTAGGTTTCTATTTTTTTCTCACCAAAATGGATCTCAATGTCTTGTAGGATTTCCATCAGATGTCTATGTTGAATTTCTTAGCTATGCATTTGAGTTTTTCACTGAAATTTTGTGGGTTGGGGAGATAAATGGTAGTAGTGTTTTCCTTATTTTTCTTTCTGTTGTGATCTTCATCAGGGAGTTTTTGATGAAGGAGAAGGTATGACTGTTCTGTTTAGGGCACTCTACTATCTTTTGGCATTCTGTTTAGATGGATGTCTTATCGCAACTATTTTCTGCTCTCTTGTTTAGGCACTGAATTATACCATGTTTTACTGAGGCTGGATGATAAGACTGGAAATGTAGGTATCTGTTCATTGGGTGGGTTTTCTGTATATAGTTGTGGTGATTTTTCTCTCTTGTCTGCTGATGAATATGTCAAGAAATGGTACGCTATTTTGTGCCTCTTATTTCCATGGTGAAGTGGATTCTTTTGTCTATAGAATTAAGATGTTCTAGGAAGGCTGGTAAGTTTTCATGACCATGGGGTCAGATAACAAAGGTGTCCTCAACATAATATCTGTAGAAACCTGGTTTTACATGTGTGGATAAGGGGGCTCTTTCTTCAAAGACTTCCATGAAAATGTCTGCTAGGATTGAAGAGAGTGGTGATCCCATAGCTAGATCATCTGTTTGTTTGTAGAATTCCTTGTTGTATTGGAAATAGATTGATTGTAGGTAAATACTCATTAGTTCCATGATGACATCTACCTTCATATCAGTTCTGTGTGGTAGAGAATTGTCATTCAGCAGTCGTTTTCTGGTGACATGAAGGGCTTCTGAGAATGGAAAATTGGCAAATAGGTCTGTGATGTCAAAACTGACCAGAATAACCTAGAATCTGATGTGTAGCTTTCTGAGTTGTTCTATGAAATCTGTTGAATTGTGAATGTGATATTTGGCATTTCCTCGTAGTGGAGATAGGATAGGCACCAAGTTGATGGCAAGGTGAGTTTATAGCACTGACGATAGGTCTTTAACTATTTCAGCACAGTCTAAGTCCCTAGGACTGACCTCATAACCATTTTGTGCTTGTTATAATTTTCATGCTATAACTTTTAAATTAGTAAAAATATGTTTACAAAATTGGGCAGATTATGAGTAAACATTACAATGCTTTCATATGCAAAATATCAAATTTTAATATTAAGTCTTAAGTTCGTAAAGCAATGTTTTTTTCATGCGTTTATTTTTTTTTTTTTTGCATGTTGCCTATCCATTATGCAAAGTAATTTTCATTT